ATATATATATATATATATATATATATATAATATACAGCACTTCGCCGTATCTCGCATCTGCTTGACAGTAGGGGTTGCAAGATCCTGTATGAGGCACAAGTACGCTCACACCTTGAGTATGCTCCACTTTCTTGGTTGCCTGCCCCCCCTCTTATCTGCGACTGCTTGACAGAGTAGGAACAGAGCAAGACGTCTCATCTTTTCCCTGGACCCATCTTGTATAGATCTGTCATTTCAGCAGAGCCTTCAACATGGGAGGGATGTGGGTGGCCTTACTGTTATGTACAAAGGCCAATATTGTAAAAAATACCACACTTGGATCCACTTCGAGGACAGCATGAAACAAGCTTTTATGCCACAAGATGGGCAGAAAGCAGCAACTTCACTCTGGCTTTTACCTTCTCCAGAACTCACTCCATCTGAGATCATACAAAACCCAGGATGACTCGAGTATGGAACACATTCGTACAGCATAATGATCCCAACGAGATGAAGTCAGTTGATCAAAGGGAAAAGGGCTGGCCCACAGATGGCTCCAACTTCATCCTGTTCCCTACTTGTATGTTCATAACAATAAAAATGCTTTCAAATGAGCTGATGTAGGTACAGCTCTTAGCTTGCCAATAAAGTTAGGAATCCTTAACCTGTAAATAGCTTGTCAATAAAGCTGGTATCCTTAACCTTGTCAAACCCTGTGTAAAAAAAAGAGAAAAGCGAGAGAGAGCGAGAGAGAAGAGCAGAGAGAGGCAAGAGAGAGAGAGCAAGAGAGAGAGAGAGCAAGAGAGAAGAGAGAGCAAGAGAGAGAGAGAGCAAGAGAGGAGAGAGAGCAAGAGAGAGAGAGAGAGCAAGAGAGAGAGAGAAGCAAGAGAAAAAGAGCAAGAGAGAGAGAGAGCAAGAGAGAGAGAGAGCAAGAGAGAGAGAGAGCAAAAAGGGGGAAGCAAGAGAGAGAGAGAGCAAAGAGAGAGAGAGCAAGAGAGAGAAAAGAGAGGAGGAGAGAGAGAAAAGAGAGAGAGAAGAGAGAGAGGGGAGGGGAGAGAGGAGAGAGAGAGAGAGAAATGTAGACTGAGCAAAGGAAGATCTTTAAATACTGGTGAAATTAAAATATACAGTGCTGTTCATTCAACCTGAAAACAGAAATGAAATATACCATGTGTTTGTATGTATGTAGGAATTTAACTGAGTTCATGTGGGCATTATTAAACAACAAAAACAACTATTTTTTCTTTGATGCTGGGTACCCATAGCACCACTGTAGATTTGCTTTCCATATGGTGACTGTGGGGGCTGTGGCCAGAATCAACCAAACCAAATATGGCACTAATAAGTCCTGCCAGGTTATCTACTTCCCAGAATGTTAACAAAGTGAGTAGGACTGCAAAAGTGAGAAGAAAAATCTCGACCCAAAGCCTGAACAAAATACGTACCAATAAATTTGAGCATTGCAAATTTGTAATGCTTAATAATTTTTGGTGTTTTTTTATTGTAAAACTCCTAATATATATATGTGGATCATGTGGTTTACTCAACAAATTGCTTACATATAATACTAAATTTTTTCCCATAATTTAATCCTTCTCCCTGCATTTCAATATCATTTGCAAATTTATTACCACACATTACAATCATATATATATTAATTACAGGACACTCATCCAAATAAGCTACCACATCATATAATCTTATCTAACCACTGTATGCCTTAAATGAATACCATATCTTTAACTTTCTTACCTTTTTTAATATGTACCTTTATAAACATTTGTCACAGTATAATCCTATGGCTTCTATTTGCACTCTGAAACCCAATTGTCATTTAAATTACAGTCTTTTCCAGCATGCACACACTTTTTTAACCCTTAAAACCCTTTAAAACTGTCCAAGCAGATCAACGTTCACAGGGCGTAGTGCTCCAAAAGTAAATCAAACGTTTTTTTTTTAACATATTTTCAAATATAACAAAAAAAAAAAAAAAAAAAGAGTAGACCTAAGTTTTTTAACATTTTCAAATGTAAATAAAAAAAAAAGATGATCTACTTTTTTTTACATGCTTTGAAATGTTGAAAAAGCATACATATACGTTTGGCCCATTTACGGGTTAAATTGTCCAAACTTTAGATCTACATTCAACTGCGTGGCGCTCCGAATATTTTAAAAAATAATTTTTTTTTTTTAAAGAGGGCAATTTTCTGTGTACTATAAGACCAAAAAAAAAATTTTAAAAACCAGTAATTCCCAAGATATACGACTGGGAAGTTGCCTCTGGATGCTCACCTGATGTCAACATCCTGTTGTCCTACCGCTTCAGAAGTGTTGCCGATTTACCTTTTTTCTCATATTTATTTTAATTTATAAAATTTTTTTATGTTTGATAATTACAATTTATAATAGTTCTTGTGTTTTCATAGCCAATCTCTGATCTGACACTAATATTATGTACTGAAAATAGTACTCAAATAGTAACAATCACCCGACAGGTGAAATTTTCACCTGCCTGGGTCATTTACTATTGTCTAGAAATATATACAAAGTATTTATAGGTCTTTATTTATAGGACTAGTAAAGCTGTTGGTTTGGGGTTTTTATGAGCTGCTCCTTTGATTGCTGAACAAGTGACACTGCTATTACTTGTGTCATGTTTATTTATGCCCTTATATCTACAAACACTAGTATAGCACTTTGCCTGGAATTTTTGGGTTATCCCAAGTAATTTACACTATGTATAATAACTGTATTTATGTGTACATGTGAGAGACAGAGATATAGACATAGACAGAGATATAGACAGATACAGACAGAGACAGCCAAAGCCATCCAGCCATCTGGCCAGCTGACCAGTCTGCTGAATACATAAGAACATAAGAAAGAATGAACCTGCAGCGGGCCCTTTACTGGCCCATGCAAGGCAGGTCCATGTCACCTCCTTGGCTTAGACCAACTGACCCACCTAGTCAGGTCACATCCACTGAAGGAAGCACAGCATCTGACCTAGCAGCAAAAGCTAGTCAGGTCCAACTCATACCCCACTCATGTATTTATCTAACCTATTTTTACTTTCATCTTAAAATTGGAGTTTTAAATTTATGAAAATGACATCAGTGAATCCCTGGTTTTGCCACGCTAATGCTCTAGCTGGCGCTCAATTGAACTGGTGCTCCCACAAGGTACTAAGTGGTCCCCGATTTTTTTCATACTGCGCACACTGAGTGCGAAAGTACCCATTTTTTCCCATGTCTGGGTAACTCAGGCCTATCGCACCAAATTGAAGGAACAAAAAATAAAACGTCTACATTTGCACGCACACATAATTAGATCTACATGTGGACAGTTTAAGGGTTAGTATTCATTGCAATTTTCTAGTAACACTAGGTGGCCCGTGGTTTGGTGATAAAAGCCTAAATTTTCACACGGTGAGGGTCGGGGTTCGATTCCCAGCAAGGGCTGAAACATAGGCGTGTTTCCTTACACCGGTTGTCCATGTTCACCCATCAGTAAAATGGGTACCTGGGTGTTAGTTAACTGGTGTTGGGGCATCCAGGGATAAACAAACCTAATTTGCCTGAAATGCTTTTGCATAACCAGAGGGCTTTCTATATAGAAGTATGTTTTTGATGTCAGCTAGGCCTGTATACCTTGTACTGTACTTGTAGAAAAAAAGATTTATATTATTTTTTATTATTACATATTGACTCCTAAAGTTTTTATTATTATGATTTTTTAATACAGTGCCCAGATAAGATTTTAACAGTTTTTATGATGATTTTTCAATACACGCTTAAACAAGATTTTTTTTAACACTCCTGACACATCCCATGATGTAGAGTGACCCATTCAATTACGTCTTGCTAGAAGGGCACTGACAGTAACATCCCCACCCTTTTTCAGAGTGCAGGCATTGTACTTCCCACCTCTAGGACTTGAGTCCAGATAACCAGTTTCCTTGAATCTCTCATAAATGTTACCTAGCTCACACTCTAACAGTAGATCAAATCATGAAAACCACTTGCCTCCACTCACTCCTACTAACACAAGACTGTTCGCTGACTGCAGGGGCATCACATTTCAAATGATCCTCAAAACTGAAACACCCCCACTGTTGCTTCAGGTGCAAGTACTGTACATAGGGGATGTCTCATGCTTTATGAGACATCCCCTATGCCTTTTATACACTTTCCCCAAAATCTTTCATCAGGCCTTTCAATTTTCCCTTTGAATCTCTCAAAAGCAGCTGTGACAGCTCCCAACTTCATACATGGTGTCCACTAAAAAAATATGCAGCTAAAACAAAAAATATCCAAAGATTTATCACAAAATGACTGCAAGAGCTAAGAGAGCTGAACTTCACAGAAAGACTGGAAAAATCTTAAACATACCTTTGTTGGTAAATAAGAAAAAAAGACAATAACCACTTACAGAATAAGATTATGAAAATATAGGAAATATATAAAGATGATTTTTTGACACTATCAACAAAGAAAACAAGGTCACAACTGTACAATAATGTAACAAGGTGCTGAATGAATTACAGAAAGTATAGCATGTCTTCATAAGGAGTGGTAGACTGCTGGTTGAGGCACCCACTGCTAACCTCAAAGCTATATGATAACTAAATACAAATTTGTTTTCAATATGAGAAATCTTTGTTAGTTCAAATCCAAAAATGAGAAAGACAAAATATTAAGAATAATTCAAAAAAAGATGCTGATAAGCTATGAAAAAGAAATAAAAATTGGAATCCATACAACAAACTCTGTACCAATTAAGACTTATGGCAATCGTATTGTTGCTCCTCCAATTACAAACTGGAAATCAAACAATCCTGACATTTTTCCTGCTAAAATGCATTAATTTTATAATTACCACAATCAACAATGAAAACCTGTACACCAACTTTTATTATTTTCTATCACTATATTTTATATTCCTTGTAGATGGCACTATTTAGTACAAATTAAATACATACTAACAAATTATTTTTTAAAGAGCAAAATTAAAAATCTCACCATAGTAATTTGCTTTAGACCAAAGAAAATAGGTGTCCACAGCCAATTCAGCAGAATTTGCAAAATAAAGAGCTTGAGGGGTGAAGGCAGGCTAGCAGGTGCCAGAAGATCAGGTTTGTCGAGCTCCACCCAGACTCGGTACGATGCATAACCCATGGTAGAATACAAATATGTCCACACACAAGCAAAAGCCCAGTTAGGAGGCCGCCATCCAGGCTTTTTTAATTGCTGAGGTAAAAATATTTTGGCAACACTTATCTCAGGGTTTTAGACAAGTATTTAACTTAAGTACTGCACAGTATCTACATTATTTATTTTATTATTATAAATTTTTATTATTATTATTATTATTCATCCATCATCATCATAACATATTCAGGAGAAAACAATGAACTTATAAGGGTCATATAGAACCTTAGGAATAGGAAGTAATCAAGTTTCTCTGAGGACAAGGGACACACTAATTCCTTGGGGTGAAAGTCTTCACCAGCATATGGGCACACTAGTGAAGGAACATCATCTATAAATTCATCAAATACTATACTCAAGCAGTCATCACTACATGTTAAAATTACATTTCCTAAAATACTGTAGTTAACTTTTTTTACCTTTAAATATTCCTCTAAACCAGTGTTCCCAAACTTTTTCAGCTTGTTACCCAATTTAAAAATGCCACATAAAGCATGTTACCCCTTTCACAAAATGTTGTTATTATTGATATATGTGGCTAATTAAAACACTTGAGATATTTCTTTTATTTATTGTATTTGAACATTGTGCATCTCTAATGACTATTACCAAAAATGTCAAGAACATCAGTGGGATGGATGGAGTTGCATACTTGAAGTAGTTTAGGAATTCTTGGCTTCATACCAGCTTATGTCTACCTCACTGATGCTCACAGATTAAACTGACAGTGTGAAATAGAGGCAGCCCCAGGAAGTGAGTGACGCGTACTGGACAGGTCGATCTGGGCTACTGAGTGACTTTTGTCCTGAAGCATACTTTTTCAAAATACTTTTGGGTTTCCACACACTTAGCTATATTTTCTTCTTTTCTAATACTGTATATTAGTTTTTGATGTTTATTGTTATTTGGTTTAACTTTATTACTTTTTTATAAAAAGGTTTACTTTACAACTTTATATACTAAGACAAAGTTAACAATAATCCTCATACCGGGTACCGCATGTTTTCTTGATTTTCCAGAATTCATAACTTTTTTTTCTGTCAACCCCTCCATTACCCCCCAAAAATGGTTAAATTACCCCCAGGGGGGAATTTACCCCCAGTTTTGGGAACCACTGCTCTAACTGATACACTGTGAAACCGTAATTCTAAAATTATGTCTGCATGTTTGGAAATGGAAAACACTGATAATGTTTATTACTACAACAAACTTCAGCACTATCAATTTGTTACTATATCTTGATGTCAAAATATTCCCCATAACTTTGTGTTTTAACCCTTTAGCTATATGGGGTTACAAATCTTGAATTTGCAATTCATCTCCTACACTGCATATGTTGTGACTTCACTCTGGCTAGTACAAATGTTTCAAGTATCTGACACTGGGACATGAGATATCATTGACGAGGAAGTGAAATTTTCAACCCCATATCTGCTGCCCTTGTAGCAGATATGAATTCTGCTAAAAAATTAAGTAATAAAAAATTATAAAATTGCTGTTATAATTCACTGCTAATTCACTTTCTTTTCACCTCACTACTACTACTACTATACAGGAGGGCCCCACTTATACAGCAAGTTAGGTTGCAGGCTACTGCTGTAAAGTGAAATATGACCCAGCACACACACACACACACTTTTTTTTTCCTTCATTTTCAAATGTATATAAAAGCCTGATAACAATTGACACTAAAAAATGTATATACAGTACACACATTACTAAACTTAAAATATTTTTGTCCTTAGCTTAGAGTGGTGAATATATTTAATGTAGGAAGTCTCAATAAATGAACGTATAACTGAAAACCATTATATTAGCAAAATGACGTAAAGCAAAGCATGGCCCCGCTGTAAAGTGGGGCCAACCTTTATTTACACTGCTCACCTTCAATTACCAGGTTTATTCGTTTGTGACTTGATAAAAAACCAGAGTGTAGGCCAAAATTTGCCGCAAAAGCATTTTTATAAAAAGCATTCGTCTCTCTTTACCAACATCACATCAATATCTCATACTACATATCATTGGTGTGGCAATATACTATTTGAGAATGAATGGAACTGGTGGATGTGAGCAGATCTTTAATATTCTTTCTCATTTTTGGATTGAACTAACAAAGATTTCTCATATTTGAAAACTGTAATTGTATTTAGTTCATCATATAGCTTTGAGGTTAGCAGTGGGTACCTCACCAGCAGTCTACCACTCTTTATGAAAACATGCTATACTTTCTGTAATTTATTCAGCACCTTGTTACATTATTGTACAGTTGTGACCTTGTTTTCTTTGTTGATAGTGTCAAAAAGCCTACTACCTCACTATTCTTATGTTTTTCAGTGTAGGGATTATGCTTTTAGTTTCAAAACCTCTTTAAAATATTGCCCCAACATTTTAACAAAAAATGACTTTGGAACCTTAACTTATATTTGAGTATACAGTACACAGTACTGTTCATTATACAAATAATCAATATATTTTAGAAAAAATGAGAAAAATTAACTCCTGCAATGGTGTGAAGAGGGCATGCCTTCCAGCAAGAGGCCAATCCCTTTGCAAATATGGAAGCTTAAATTTATATAAAATTTCAGTGTTGAAATCCAATTACTGTACTACCCATTTAAAAAAAAATTTATAACTCAAACTATTAAAGAACTGCCAAAAAATGTGCATAATATAGCCTTTGTTTTTGAGGAAATGTGTTGGCCAGGCTGCTGCACAATCCTCTGACATTTTTTCTGGTTAGCCATACTTGAGTCCTGGAAATGGGAAGTACAATGCCTGCACTTTAAAGTAGGGGTTTCGGATATTGGCAGTTTGAAGGGACATCTGAACTGTCGTATCTGGGCGCCTCTACAAAGACAGTGATTACGTATGAGTGATGGTGAAAGTGGCGAATGATGATGAAAGTTTTTTCTTTCTTTTTGGGTCACCCTGCCTTGCTGAGAAACGACTGATGTGTTAAATATAGCTTTTATAAAATATGCAACTTTGTATATTACACATACACTAAAAAATCACATATGTTTGTAGATCATGTTTTTTACAAATAAATATTTGTACTGAAAGTGTACTGATATACGTTAAATAAAAATACAGTGGACCCCGGTGAATTTGCGGTTCCGAATTCACAGATTTTTCCTTAGAACCTAACTAATAATTGTTCGTGGAAATCCCTGCAAATTTGCGGAATTTTTTTTCATGGCAATATACAATTTATTATGCGTTTTAACACTAAATATTAAGAAAAATATAATCTAATAATTTTGTAACATAAATATTAATGTAAATTCAGCAAAATTTCCATACACATACGTATTTAACTTTACCTTTACTAAATTAATTTTTTTTTTTTTTTTTATCACACCGGCCGATTCCCACCAAGGCAGGGTGGCCCGAAAAAGAAAAACTTTCACCATCATTCACTCCATCACTGTCTTGCCAGAAGGGTGCTTTACACTACAGTTTTTAAACTGCAACATTAACACCCCTCCTTCAGAGTGCAGGCACTGTACTTCCCATCTCCAGGACTCAAGTCCGGCCTGCCGGTTTCCCTGAATCCCTTCATAAATGTTACTTTGCTCACACTCCAACAGCATGTCAAGTATTAAAAACCATTTGTCTCCATTCACTCCTATCAAACACGCTCATGCATACCTGCTGGAAGTCCAAGCCCCTCGCACACAAAACCTCCTTTACCCCTCTCTCCAACCTTTCCTAGGCCGACCCCTACCCGCCTTCCTTCCACTACAGACTGATACACTCTTGAAGTCATTCTGTTTCGCTCCATTCTCTCTACATGTCCGAACCACCCCAACAACCCTTCCTCAGCCCTCTGGACAACAGTTTTGGTTAATCCCGCACCTCCTCCTAACTTCCAAAACTACGAATTCTCTGCATTATATTCACACCACACATTGCCCTCAAACATGACATCTCCACTGCCTCCAGCCTTCTCCTCGCTGCAAAAATTCATCACCATGCTTCACACCCATATAAGAGCGTTGGTAAAACTATACTCTCATACATTCCCCTCTTTGCCTCCAAGGACAAAGTTCTTTGTCTCCACAGACTCCTAAGTGCACCACTCACTCTTTTTCCCTCATCAATTCTATGATTCACCTCATCTTTCATAGACCCATCCGCTGACACGTCCACTCCCAAATATCTGAATACATTCACCTCCTCCATACTCTCTCCCTCCAATCTGATATTCAATCTTTCATCACCTAATCTTTTTGTTATCCTCATAACCTTACTCTTTCCTGTATTCACCTTTAATTTACTTCTTTTGCACACCCTACCAAATTAAATTATTACCATATATTTACAGTACATATATCAAAGAAAACGGTTGCACGAATTACAGTATACCAAAGAAAATGGGCTTGTATGAATTACAGTATGTATGGGGGTAACACAGGCATTTTATATTCTAGCACTGTGGGAGACATAGCAGTACAGTACTGTATACAGGTTTATCTTTACATTCTTTTTCTTTTGAGGGTGATGCATGAAGGTGAGTTTGAAATTAAATTAAAGTGTTTTGGCAGCATATTTAGGGTTTAAACTATAAAAACAGGCATTTATAGGCATTTTCTAACTGCATCCAGAATTTCGGGGAAAACTGGTTAGCCAGACTTGAGTCCACAAGGTAAGAAGTACAGTGCCTGCACTGTGAAGGAATGAGGATACTGCAGTTTAGAAGATAAGATAATATTTCGTTTGGATTTTTAACCCCGGAGGATTAGCCACCCAGGATAACCCAAGAAAGTCAGTGCGTCATCAAGGACTGTCTAACTTATTTCCATTGGAGTCCTCAATTTTATCCCCCAGGAGGCGACCCACACCAGTCGACTAACACCAAGGTACCTATTTGCTGCTAGGTGAACAGGATAACAGGTGTAAGGAAATGCATCGAAATGTTTCCACCTGCCGGGAATCGAACCCGGGCCCTCCGTGTGTGAAGTGGGAGCTTTAGCCTAACACCAGGCCACCTCAACTGTTATGATGGCTTACCTCTAGAAAATCAGTGACAGAGTGATGGTGAAAGTGTTTCTTCATTTTTGGGTCACCCTACCTTGGTGGGAGATTGGCGGCATGTGTGTGTGTGTGTGTGTGTGTGTGTGTGTGTGTGTGTGTGTGTGGTGGTGTGTGTGTGTGTGTGTGTGTGTGTGTGTGGTGTGGGGTTGTGTGTGTGTGTGTGTACTCACCTATTTGTACTCCCCTATTTGTGGTTGCGGGGGTCGGGGTTCCTAGCTCCTGGCCCGCCTCTTCACCGGTTGCTACTAGGCCCTCTCTCTCCCCGCTCCATGAGCTTTATAAAAACCTCGTCTTAAAACTGTGTATGGTTCCTGCCTCCACTACGTCATTTTCTAGGCTATTCCACGCCTTACAAACTCTATGACTGAAGAAATACTTCCTACTATCTCTCTGATCATGTGTGTCTTCAACTTCCAATTGTGGCCTCTTGGTCTGTGTCCCTCCCTGTGTGTGTGTGTGTGTGGGTGTGTGTGTGTGTGTGTGTGGTGTGTGTGAGAGAGAGAGAGAGAGAGAGAGAGAGAGAGAGAGAGAGAGAGAGAGAGAGATGAGAAAAGAGAGAGAGAGAGTGAGTGAGTGTGAGAGAGAGAGAGAGAGAGAGAGAGAGAGGAGAGAGAGAGAGAGAGAGAGAGAGAGGAGAGAGAGAGAGAGAGGAGAGAGAGAGAGAGAGAGTGAGAGAGAGAGAGAGAGTGAGAGTGAGAGTGAGAGTGAGAGTGAGAGGAGAGTGAGAGTGAGAGTGAGAGTGAGAGTGAGAGAGTGAGAGAGTGAGAGAGTGAGAGAGAGAGAGTGAGAGAGTGAGAGTGAGAGAGTGAGAGAGGTGTAATTACTGCTACAAGAAAGGACATAAGGAGGTCCAGTGTCAGAAGAAAAAGGAACTTGACAGACAGGGCCACCTGTTTAGAGACCTGTTTTCAGAACAAACCAGCAGGATCTCTGAATTGGTGAACACTCTCACACGTCACCCACTTAGCTACTCCTATCTCAGCCCAGCAGGTGGGATTGTGCCTTATACAAGACCACAGACCTACATCCCTGCAGCTGCCTCAGTACCCTACCTCTCTCAAGGGCAGGCACCTTACTTTCCCCTACACACCACCACCTCAAGCTGACCACTTCACATGAGGAGCCAGTCTATCAGCATCCTGTCGGCCAACATTGAGGTTTCATTACTAATGTTGGAGAGCTCACACATGTTTTGTGAACACTCAAACGTCCTGCCCATGATAGCTGTTGTTGAAACATTTTTGGATGAACAGGACTCCAGAAAAATTTTGCAAGAATTGCTGGCTACACCTCATGGATGAGAAGAGACAGGCAAGGGCAAGGAGGAGGTGTTGCTGTGTTGCTTCTCAAAAAGTGTTCATCCCCAGCACATTGATGTTGCCCACCCTACACATTCTTAAAATGATGTTCTTCAGCTCTGTATAAACACTAGTACCTCTGTACTAGCATGTGCAATGTACGGGACCTCAGTGGCAACATGCAGACCCTTTTCAACTTCCTAATGGAAAATATTGACTCCTTCTGCTACAACACAACTGTAACATATTATAATGTTGGTGCCCTAAACCAGACCTTATACAGAGGACTTTGATGACCATCTTGCAGTGTTTGACATGAGAAACTTTGTTGATTTCCCTACTCATATCTCTGGCTCCTCCCTTGACCCAGTAGTGAGTGATCTGGCAGAAGGCATAGTCACTTGTCAACCCATCGGCTACGTTGGATCGTCTGACCACAAGGCTGTTTTTACGACACTTAAGATCCCAACAGAACGAGGTGAGGAGTCCACACGCACAACCTGGCTATGGGAAAGAGGTAATTGGCCAGCCCTTTGCTCTGAGCTTGCCACCACCGACTGGAATGCTCTTCTCCAAGGGGATGTTGACAACCAAGTGAAAGACACATCCTTAATCTACAACAAGAACATATTCCTCACCAGCAATATGTGACGAAGCCTACAGATCAGCCTTGGTTTGGCTTTCGTTGTAGAGAGGCTGCTACTGCTAAGTACAAAGCATGGGGGAAGGTTAAGAGACATCCTACCCCCTATAACAGGAACTTGCACATGCAAGCCTGTAGGCATATGGGTGATGTTCAAAAGTGGGCCATTGCTAAATGGGAGGTGGACACTAAAAGAAAGTTAGCATCAGGTAGGGTAGGCTCCAAAACCTGGTGGTCCCTGGTCAAGGACAGACAAGGTTTTTCTGCCTGATGAACTTATTCCACCTCTAATCGACGGGATGGGACCCCCTCTACTAGTAGTCAAGAGAAGGCGGACCTCTTTGCTGAACACTTTGCTACCAAAATGCAAGTTCCTGACCCAGCAAGGGACTCTCTTGGCTAGCTGCAAGAACTGTGTCAAAACTGTCAGTAGTGCATAAGGCAGGAGAGGTGCATTTCCTACTTAAATCGCTTGACCAAGAAAAGGCTGTGGGCCCAGACAAGTTGAGCCCAAGATTGTTGAGAAGATGTGCAGACCAGCTAGCAGCCCCTCTAACTGCATCTTTCGCACTGCTAGTACAGTGTAAATGGCCCCCCTCTATGGAAAAGGGCATATTTTAGTCCCTGTTCACAAAGAAGAGCAGAGCAGAAATCAGCAACTACAGACCAGTGTCACTCCTGTCAATCACTGGTTAAGATCCTTGAGACAAAAATCTCAAGAAAATGACAGAGTTTTTGACTCCCACTCTCACTACAATATGGCTTCAGGAAAGGTTACTCTGTGCTGATCTGTTGTTAAACCTCTCCACTAAGTGGCACCAGTCACAGGATGAATCCAAAGTCAGCTGTGTGGTAGCACTGGAAATTGCTGGCGTTTCGACCGGTTTTGGCCCCAAAGGGGCCCTTTAGCAAAACTTCAAGCACTAGGAATTGCAGGCTCTACGCTATGTCTCCTCAGTGATTCCCTTTTCATGGTAGATCTTAAGTTTTAGTTCTCAATGGAACGGAATCAGCAAGACATCCTATTGGACAAGTGTTCCACAAGGAAGCGTGCGGGGTCCATTGTTATGGAATGTCTACTTCAACGACCTTCTTCATCTCATCCAGAATCACATGCATTTTGCGACGACTGTACACTGACATTCACTTATCCAAGAGAAGAAATGCCAGCTGCTCTAAGCTACACAATCACCAGCTGAGAGCTATTTCGCTTGGGGAAATAGATGGCAAGTAACATTTGCACCTGAGAAAAACGCAAATGATGTCATCTCTAGGCCACCATGATGGTAATGCTGGTGCTTAGAAAGGGATGAATGGGAGGATGTTGGCCCCTGGAGAAGAAGTTGATATTCATTGGGGGGTAAATTTGACTCCAAACTAACCATGAAGAACCATGTTGTAAATCTTGCAAAAAGGGAGCCAGGAAGCTTACAGCACTTCCCGTATCTCCCATCTGCTTGAACGGTAGGGGTTGGCAAGATCCTGTACGAGGCCAAGTACGCTCGCACCTTGATTTATGCTCCATTTCTTGGTTTGCTGCCCCCCCTCTCATCTGCGACTGCTTGACAGAGTAGAGAACAGAGCAAGACGTCTCATCTCTCCCCTGGACCCATCCTGGATGATCTGTCATTTCAGCAGAGCCTTCAAAATAGGAGGGATTGGGTGGCCTTACTGTTATGTACAAGGCCAATATTGTCAAATACCACACTTGGATCCACTTCGAGGACAGCGTGAAACAAGCTTTATGCCACAAGACGGGCGAAAAGAAAGCAGCAACTTCACTCTGGCTGTACCTTCTCCAGAACATCCACTCCATCTGAGATCATTATACCCAGGATGACTCGAGTATGGAACACTTCGTACAGGATAATGATGTCAACGAGATAAAGTCATTGATAAAAATGAAAATGCTGGCCACAGATGGCTCCAACTTCATCCTTTTTCCCTACTTGTATGTCTCATAACAATAAAAATGTTTTCAAATGAGTGATGTAGGTAACAGCTCTAGCTTCCCAAATAAATTTAGGAATCCTTAACCTGTAAATAGCTGTCAATAAAGCTAGGGTTCCTTAACCGGGTCAAACCCTGTGTAAAAAAAAAAAAAAAAAAAAAAAAAAAAAAAAAAAAAAAAAAAATAAAAAGTGAGAGTGAGAGTGGGGAGTGAGAGAGTGAGGTGTGAGAGAGTGAGAGGTGTGTGAGAGTGTGAGTGAGAGTGTGTGAGTGAGTGTGAGTGTGTGAGTGTGAGTGATAGTGAGTGAAGAGAGAGTGGTGTGAGAGTGATTTTGTGAGGTGAGTGTGAGAGTGAGAGAGGGGTGAGAGAGAGAGTGTGAGAGAGTGTGAGTCTGAGAGTGTGAGTCTGAGAGTGAGAGTCTGAGAGTGAGAGTGCGTGAGTCTGGGAGTGAGAGAGTGAGAGTCTGAGTGTGAGCATGAGTATGAGTGTATATACAGTGGAACCTTGGTATATGACCAGCTCCCTACTCAAACAAAGCTCAGCACTCTACCAAACAAATACGACCTACCAGAACTTCGCTGTAA